TCTTACACGTCCGATATTGGCCATTTCCATAAACACTGTCAGTTTGCTATACTTGCTTATATCGTTTGCGGGTTACGCCAGGCAGAGAGGAGAACCCGAGGAACGTATTCATAATCCGACCCTATCTCCCAGGCGTTAAGAATAAGGAGAAAACGCCAAGAAACCTGGTGATAACTATAGTAACTCGCCATAACCACAGTGGCCCCAGCCCCAAGTTCCCTCGAATAGAAACGCAAACATGAACGCCAATACAACACATCGCTTTACACATTTCTCTTGGGACTCAGAGTCACCTATGTCAGTACGAGTGCATGCCCTACTAACAAAATATCTCACGCCTAGCGTCCCACAGCTATGAACACTTCAAACTAGGACTCTCGTGCGCATACGTTCAAACCCTAGACCATATCAATATTGATCAATTCACGATTTGCAATAGAAGTAAGGGACGTCTGCATCCGGCATTTTCCCAATAATTAGGACTAACAACGGCCGACAAATGCTTTATCCTGTTCAAATCTATATGTAGCCCAAGTACATCTGTGATAGCTCACTATTAAGATACCACTACACTGACGAAGCGCCTTTGCCGAGATCGATGAGTAACCAGTGCCTACTTTTGTACGCCTTCGCGACCCAGATCTTCGCAAAGGCTCCAATACATATACAACACTAATGGCCGACACGCACATAGCATGCAAGAACTGCGGCATTACGCCGCCGACATACACGCATATAACAGCGTCAACGGTGACAGTCTAGCGCGACACTTCCAAAACAGAGTCAACACTCGCGCTTGCAGACAGAGTTCCTCAACGCCACGTTGCCGACCAGTTTCGCCGATTCAAACACGCTCCTTTGCCCAACCGGAACGCACATTTCACAGCTAGCCAATGCCCTGCGAGCGTCCATCTAACCGTCATCCGCACAACAAATACAGAAACGTGCGTTGAGGCCAATCTCTCAACGTGCGCTTTTAGCGAATACTGGCGCAACGCGTCCACAAACCCAAAAGGGTTGACGTCTGCTTATCAAAATGACACCTCCCAGAGGCGTCATATCCTGTGCCATGCCCGATTATTTTTCTCCATGTTACGATACCATATTAGTTTCATACACGTCTAACGCGCCATTACAATAGCTACGCTATTCAGTAAGCACCTCCGCAAACAAACCACCATATTAAACCAATATAAAAAGGTCAAGAATGTGAAACATTGAATGAGAGACACGAATAAGTCGAAGGTATCAGATACCATAGGGCAGATAAAGTCGAAGGTTGTAAATTTTCGCTGCCAGTTATCGCGTAGTGCGCCCAGCAGCATAGGAATGAAACTGGTACTTATCATGACTTCATAAACATCAGTATTGATATTGAGCTCGGGTGATTAAGCGGTTTAGAAGAAGAACCAGATTGGTCCTCCGGCACCCACCGGAGTCTCCCTTTCCTTCGTAGCTTTGCTTTCCTCCTTCTGTCCTTAGCCTCTCCTCTTCCCTCCATTGATGGATGCACTTTCGGTCATTCCACAGGGTCCAGCTGCCACAGCAGCACCCTGTGGAATGTACACTGCGACGCATAATTATAGTTCCACCTACAATTTCAGTACCCGGCTGGATATCATTTTCTCACGATACGGCGCTTATCTCAGTCGGATAGTAATCAGGGTTCCTCCCAGTCATATCCTGTAGCATCCTTGAGAAATTTGTTCGTTATGAAGTCACCCCGACAAATTCCAGCGGAGCTGACACTTTGACAATTCCTGCGTCTCTTTTGCTAGGATTTCCCTTTTACGGAAGTGTGACAGCGGTTTTGATAATAATTCCAAATTTTGATTGGGTAAAAGCAAAATGCAGCGGAGAAGCTAAAGCGGATATTTTCGAAAAAATAAGGATAAAAAATTGTTGCTTTCTCAAACTGGATTTCCGTGTTAATATTCAGATTCGCGTTTATATGTGTCACAATTTATCTGTAGAGCCTTTTCCAAAAACATCCCCAGATTTCAAGTTTTTGGAAAAATTTGTGTAGGTGGAACTATAATTATGCGTCGCATTGTACATCCAGACACACATACAAAATGACGCACCAAGCTAGCGGTTTATATAATAGAAGGATTTTTTCACTATGAGTATCGGTGTGGGAGTGAAATATGACCAGTCAATCAGCATTCAACCTAGCTCTAATGGAAACGCGCCATTGGTCCACGGCCACATAGTGAGCGGATCAACTACCCTTGCTTCTTCTGGTGTGCGGTTCCTTTGAAGGACTGGCTTCCACGTAGAATTTGCTACCCTCGCGCTATCACTCGATAAGGTGTGAGGCAGTAATTGTTGGACGAGTGTAAGCCCATGGAAGATATGATACGATGAGATAAGAAGGTGCGGCTGCTTGATAAGAGGTGCACTCCAGAATGAAAACGGGACGATAACGATAACGGTATCATATCTAGCACGCTCTTATCGCACCCCACATCGATAAGTCTTGGTTTTTGCTGAACGGAAGTGGATTTCGGCGCCTTATCACTCCGTTGATAGAAGCGTCACGCTGGCTTCCACGCTGGATTTGCTACCCTCGCGTTATCAATCGATAAGGTGTGAGGCAGTAATTGTTGGACGAGTGTAAGCCCATGGAAGATATGATACGATGAGATAAGAAGGTGCGGCTGCTTGATAAGAGGTGCACTCCAGAATGAAAACGGGACGATAACGATAACGGTATCATATCTAGCACGCTCTTATCGCACCCCTTTCCACATCGATAAGTCTTGGTTTTTGCTGAACGGAAGTGGATTTCGGCGCCTTATCACTCCGTTGATAAGGCGCCACTGCCACTGAAACTTCACGTGTTGTAACACTGGGCAGGACCTCTATCCACTCCAATACATAGCTTCCCTTATCGTTCCCATGAAAATTATCGTGACCACTTCCTTTAACCCACTCGCGACCGAGCGGGTTTTTCACGACTTCGCAATGTCAACCACCGGTGGCTGACATGGTCCCAGGGGAAATCCATCTCTTTTTTTTCGATTCTTTTTATGCACTTTCTACCACCCTGGGGGTTAACGAGGGTCCTGATCACGAATATGATATCCATTTTCGCCGCTGGCGCCAATTTGGCGCCATATGGCGCCAAATTGGCGCTAGGGCTGTTTTCACCAAATCTGCTGAAAACTTGTGTATAGGGGTTATCGAGGGTCCTGATCACGAATATGATATCCATTTTCGCCGCTGGCGCCAATTTGGCGCCATATGGCGCCAAATTGGCGCTAGGGCTGTTTTCACCAAATCCGCTGAAAACTTGTATATAGGGGTTATCGAGGGTCCTGATCTCGAATATGACATTTGTTCCTGGCGCTGGCGCCAAATTGGCGCCATATGGCGCCAAATAGCGCCATGACTGAATCGCACCAATTTCGCTGAAAACCTGTATATAGGGGTTATTTGAGGCCCTGATTACGAATATGACATTATTTTTTAGCGCCTGCGCCAAATTGGCGCCATTCGGCGCCAATTTAGCATCAATTGGCGCCAAATAGCGCCAATTTGACGCTGACACCAAAAACAAATGTCATATTCGTAATCAGGACCCTCGATAACCCCTAAACACAAGTTTTCAGCGGATTTGGTGAAAACAGCCCTGGCGCCAATTTGGCGCCATATGGCGCCAAATTGGCGCCAACGCTAAAAACGGATTGCATATTTGAGATCAGGACCCTTGACAACCCCCATGGGAGAAGTTTCAGCGAAAAAAAAGTTTTCAACTTTTTTGGTGAAATTTTGAAGTCATCATATTCTTCCTTCAATAAAACTTTAGCGGGTGGAGATTTTCTCTGCCCAGGGGTAGCCTAGATAGAAGAGGGTATGTAGATTCTTCGTAGCGAAGAAAATCTTCCGAAGACCTCCTTTTGTTTTCAAAAATTCCATTCAAAGCCCGTCAGCCACCGGTGGCTGACATTGTCGCGAATGGGTTAAGAAATTTGGGAGTTGTAACGGCCCGCCCAGGGGTATTTTATTGTTGATGATGAAATGAGATGATATTTGGAAAGAAATGGAGCGTGATGATGAAATGAGATGATAGAAAAATGCGTTATCTTCAATAGGATTATAAGTGATTTCTATGTTCCTACGCATATTGCCATTATCGGTCCTTATCGGCCCTTATCACTTTCTGTCTCCAGAGAACATGTTCCCGTCCCATCCTATACATCACTTCTTGGAACCAACGCCCCACTGCTGCTGGGACGCGCGCTACGAATTTCGTGAAATTTGCGTTCTAGCGCCTCTTATCAGCTCTTATCGGCCCTTATCACCTTCTGTTCCCCAGCAAACATGTTCCCGTCCCCCACCCGAGATACAGCGCCTCAATGCTGCTGCATCGCGCACTATGGATTCTGTGTGACACCTGCATTCTGACGCCTCGATCTATCAGCGGATTTTATCAGCAGTTATCACCTTCTGTCCACCGCCAAATATGTTCCCGTCCCGCTCGCTATATCATATCTAAGGGACAGTGTCTCAGTGCTGCTGGCCCGCGCGCTATGAATTTCGCGAACCCTTGCGTTCTAGCGCCCCTTACTCGATCTTCTTCGGCTGTTATCACCTTAGGTCCCCCGCCGAATATGTGCCCGGCCGCTTTCCTTTTTAACGAAAATCATGAGTGTCCAGCATACTTTTGAACAACGGACTGATATATCTTATACCTGGTGGACCTACCCCTCCTTTAGGGAAAGTCTCGATGCGACCCCCACCACCACCAGACTCAGGAGGCTCCCCAATACGACCACCCTTCTCCCTACCCCGACCCTCGCCATCATGGCTGTTTCTATAGTATTTGATTCTGAGACCAGTCGACACAGCCCAACTCCGCCCACTTTCCCTCCAAAATAGCGTCGAGCGAGAAGGGAGGGGGGAGGGTGGGGGGGGGGGGGGCAATAAAACGCAATATTTTCCCATCTTCCACCTTTCCATACTCGTCACGTAGTCCCTGGCGACACGAGGCTCCCCTATCCCACGCATGGCCCAAGGGTTGGATTCTTCTCTTCGTTCATTTTTCTAGCAAAAATGTTCTTACCACTGCCTCTGAAACCAGCTGCTTTCAAAGCTTTGTCAAGTGGTAGGTCTTTATAAGGGACGCAAATTGGTGCAATCTCCTTGATTGAGACGTCATCTTCGAGTTCAGCGATAGCCGTGTCATGGAAGGCAGAGCAGTACTTGTACTTGTCATTCACCCACACCTGCAAAAGGCACAGAGGGAGCTCTTGAAATATTTGTTCTCAAAAATACGTCAAATACTGAGTTTATAGAACTTTTGCCACCTTAGCGATTTTGTGCTGCTTGGCACATGGACCACTTCCGTGACAGTTGCCACCGACATAGACTGAGTAGTTTGCCATGTTCATCAAGATCGGTTTCCTATAATAATTGGGTGTACATCGGTGCGTAAACCGCTTTCGCAAGTATCTCTGACTCACAGGTCCGTTGGAGAATGCTCCATGCTGCAGAAAGACCCATCCTTCTCTTGAACCACACAATTTGCCGTCGTTATTACATGGCGCGGGGAAAGCAAGGCTCCACCACACCGTTGCGTTGAGCCGTCGTTTTTTGCTGGAAATTGAGGTTGTGTTATCGAAGAAATAATCTTCAAGAGGAGATGAGGGGTTCGGCAAAAAAAAACTTATTTGCGCCAGGCATTGGGATCTAATTCAAAACCGATCCGGTCTTTGAAAGGATATCTGACCTATACGAGTAGTTGCAAATGCTAGACGCTGGTCGCGCTTCAATCCTTAGTCCATGTAGAGGCAGCGGAAGGGTTTTCTTACCCTGAGTAGTCCTCGATCCTGTGAATTTTGAAAGCATGCGGTGCACTTGGGCCTTGCACAAGCACGACGTTTACTAAGCGAGCGGCGACGTCATTGGCAACGTTGACTGGTACTTTGTTTAGAAGGACGGTAGGTGCTCCCCATCTGATGGTTGAAGCAACAACCCCGGATCAAATTGCTAGGGTAACACCG